TCACTGCTACACTGTCTACAGCTTGTCCAGAACGCAGCAGCCCGCCTCCTCACTGGAAAGCGTAAACACGAACACATCACACCAATCTTGGCCTCGCTCCACTGGCTTCCAGTGCGTTTTAGAATTGATTTTAAGATTTTATTGATTGTTTTTAAAGCCCTAAATGGGCTGGCACCCCCTTATTTAACCGAACTCCTGCGCTTTCATGCTCCCTCCAGAGCCTTGTGATCAGCCAGTCAGCTATTACTGGCTACTCCTAGGACTAGGCTGAAGACCAGAGGTGACAGAGCCTTTGGGGTGGCTGTCCCTAGGCTCTGGAATAGCCTGCTTCTGCACATTTGGTCTGCCCAGACCCTAGAGGTTTTTAAGTCTTTTCTTAAAACCCACTTCTTCTCTCAGGCTTTTAACTCAGGTTGAGCTGGACACCCAAACATTTTATCTTATTTTGATCTGATTTTATAACTCTTTTATTTTATTTTATTTTATTGTATTGTATTTTATATATCTTATGGTTATTATTGTGGTGTACTATTGGGTACCTCATTGTATTTGTTTGTTTATTTCTATTGACCTGTTCAGCACTTTGGTCAACCTTGGTTGTTTTAAATGTGCTTTATAAATAAAGTTTGAGTTGAGTTGAGTTCACTGTAGAGCTGTGTGCAGTGTTGCTTTGCTCAGCGCCTCATCACCCCTCTGTCGCTCTCTGTATTTATCATGAGACTGCTGCTGCAGGCGTGAGCTCTGCACAGGAGAACAGTCAGTGAGAGTCCACCTGCACACACACACACACACTGATGGTAACTGTTAGTGTCACACAGCTAACATTCCCTAACAGTTACTAGCTAGTTTGATGACAGAGTTGAGCCTTTCTTTTGTTGATGTGAGTTTGTTGGGAGCCTTAAACGGCTCCGTGTTGGATGTTAGAATCACGTTTATTTGTCACTTCCATAAAACACACTCAGCATTTATGGGAGTGAAATACTGTTCTCCACAGATCAGGGTGTGGTTTAATAATATAGGAGACACATTTAAAAACATACATAATACCAATTGGCCACTGCTGCTGTGTTAGCTCATGCTAACCAGGGCAGACGTTGACCTGACCTTCAGTGCTGTATGTAATGGCAGCATCAGAAAGTTTGCTACTTTTTCTTATGTTAACTTTGAAATTATGGTTTAATAGGCTAACTGGAGCCTTGTTATTCAATACATGAATTTCAAAATGCACTTTTGTCCGTTGCTGGCCAATTTCTACATTTCTACATTTCTACATTTCTATTCTTAAGTTAGACTTCTTTTTTTTTTTTTTTGCAAATATTCGAGTACTCTGTAATAATTTAAAGGATGTTCTCAAATACAGAAGTAACTTAAAACGCCCATCCCTAATTCATATATGATGTCACAATGTTGGTTGGTCCGACATCCCATTAGTCCGACGTCCCGTTGTTCCGATATGTGATTATACTAGGCTATACTGTATTTGTGTACCATAGAGGATCAGCAAACACAACAAAAGTAGGCTACTGGTCGAGATACAAGTGTCATAGAGAGAAGAGAATGAAACACCATAACCTCCTGTTATTAACTCTGGGGTCCGGGTTGTGTGGGGAGCTCTCCGCGGTGCTGAACGGCTCCCGGCGGGTGTATTTCTGCCTTGATGGTGCGCCGCGACCGGCTCTGGGTCAGCTGGGAAAGGCTTGAGGCGGAGCAGGCTCACGGCTTATGTGTTTNGCCGCGACCGGCTCTGCATCAGCTGGGAAAGGCTTGAGGCGAAGCAGGCTCACGGCTTATGTGTTTGTCACTTTCTTTTTCATTTTAACCCACACCATGATCTTTTCCTGACCCTAACCAAGTGGTTTTTGTGCCTAAACCTAACCAGACCTTAACCACAGGGCATCATGATGATTTCGGAACAACGGGACTTCGGAACAATGAGTTTAATATGGTCGGAACAATGGGATGTCGGACCAATGGGCAGTTCCCGTCTTTTGATCATTAAAGCATGTAAACATGTTCTACTACAGGGGTGTCAAACATACAGCCCTTGGGCCAGAACCGGCCCGCCAAAGGGTTCAGTTCAGCCCATTAGATATCTAGACTAAGTGGTGCCAGGTTTCAGGAGCAAGTTAAACAATGCATTGCCTACTTCATGTAAAATTCTGCTTCAGAGGCTTTTCCACCCCGACCAGAATACAGTTCTCTTATATAAGAATGAATACTTACTGTTTGTATCAGGAAATGTGTGGATAAATGCATGTGATGAGTGAGAAGTCGACTGACTGAATGTGGAAAAACAACATGCTGTTGAAATTGCACTTATTTTTCTTGAGACATTTCAGGCTGTTCGTGTTTTGTTAAAGGATGAATGTCTGCAGAAGGTACTTGAAATTCTTTACACAAAAAAAGGGTAGTTATTGGAGCTGATGGTAGAGGTTATTGTGCGGTGGTTTCATTGGTCATCTGAGATCAACTTGGGCTTTATATGGCCCATAGACTAAAATAAATTTGACACCCCTGTTCTAGTAGAAATAAGCATATTTGGTCCCCTTTAACCACTCGATGAGTAAATGAACATCTTCAGAACAGTTGTTCTTTTAAAATGCAGAATATCTCCAGTGACAAACTCTCTATTTTAACATAAACAGCAGCTGACAATTCATTTTACTACACGTGATGCTCGAATCTAACTGTCTCTTTTTCCCTATTTTTGGTCCTCTGTGGTCTGTGTCTGCAGCTACCTGCAGTCCAACAGCAGTAAAGATTTCCAGCGCTGCGTCATTGACATGTTGGAGGATGCTGAAGTAGTTTCTACCATGCTGATCCCAGGTTTGTAGAAGTAATTTACATATACTGAGTAAGATGTGACATTTATTTTCAGGCCTTCATTATTTTGTTCGATATATTTTACCATCATCATCTCATTTACATGTGTAAACGTCTGCCTGGAAAAACATCTTAATATTTGTAAGTGATGAGGACAGCAGACACTGTGACAGTTTTTATTTTGTTATCAGTGTGTTAATATGACACACATCCAGATTTGCCACAGTGTCGGCACAGTCGACCCAGACTCCTCGGGTGCTGAGAGGATGCTAGATATTCTGCACAGCTGCTCATTGCCTCTGTGATCTGTCATTTTTCTGAGCGTGTGATCATACTGTGCTGGGTCACTCAAACAGAGCCGTGCCTCTCCCCTGTGTCAACAGCAATTCCAAGTCTTTCGAAGAATATATTCAGAAAAACAGTCCTGCTTGATAGTGGAATTGAGAATGTGAGCCAGAAGTATCCACATCAGGGATGAGCTCACATTCACCGCACGCTGCATGGCTTTGAAATCACCTAATAACTTATTATTCAGCCTATCTTTGGTCATCTTGGGCCAACATCTCTGTGTCAGCTTGCCCAGACGCTGCTGTCAGTCACCACTCATCCAGTGTTTCTGCAGGTAGTAGCAATAAAAATATGTTTTATATTCAAAGCACTCCAGGGCGCAGTTAAAAACAAGAAGCAGTGTATCCATAGAACATGAGGTCAAACAAATCAGTAATACATAACATAAGTTCATAAAATAACTAGATCGAAATCATACTTGTAAAAACTAGGTATAAAATCATCTTCAGTGCAAATCTCAATGTGTGTGTCACCATTAGATCAGACCACCAGCTTGAACAGGTGTGTTTTCAGATGGCATTTGAAGGTGGAAAGGAAATCAATATTTCCAGGAGTAGTATACGGGAAGTGAATATACTTCACAGGGCATTTTTTTGTACAAACATTTAATACTTTGTTGATGGTGCTTTTGTGTTTGCCAAAATCTTTCTGGAGCTGTTTAACCACCATCTACATTTTGTGTAGCAGTGTGTTGCTCCTTCATTTTGTCTTTGCATTGCATTGTGGGACAACAGTGTACAATCAACACTCAAAATTCAAGTGTTTTGTTTTGTTTTAGTACACATTCTAAACTCTGAATTGTTGAGTAGAGGCCAGGTTGTGAAGGGCTTTAAAGGTGATGAGGAGGAGTTTGAAGTGGATACACTGGGGGATGGGGATCCAGTGGAGGTTATGAAGGACAAGAGTGATGTGGTCACCGGTGCAGGAGTGTGTAAGCTGAGATCTGGATGTGTTGAAGTTTCTTGAGTGTTTTTGATGATGAACTGTAGAGGAGGATAGCAGCACTCCAGCATGGAGGTGATGAATGTGTGAATGAGAGTCTCTGCAGCTGAAAAAAAGAGGGATGGACGGAGGAGGGCGATGTGTGTGAGATGGAGGAAGGCTGTTTTGGTGATGTGTTTGATATAAGAGAGGGTTTGATTGAAGACGACACCAAGGTTACAGACACGGGGGAGCCATCGATGGAGAGGGAGAAGTTATGGGTGGATTTGCTAATACCCCTTTTCCTTTGTCACTCTTGGCCACGCTGAGTAAGGCCACGCTGTGCCGATTTGTGTTTCAACTGTCAGTTGAGATGTGCCGTGTCACGCCAAGCCACTCCAGAGATGGAGTAGGTCCAAAAGCCGAGCCGCCCGCCCTCAAGCAGGTAGCAATGACGTCTCACCAAGCACAGCCAACCCCCGACAACGCAGAATCCCTGCTGTGCTGGGCTGACAGCCCAAACCAAGCCAAGCCAAGCCAGGCCATGACTGTTGAAAGGGGTATAAGAGATTAGTGGCCGATGATAATGACTTCTGATTTGTCACGGTTAAGTTTGAGGAAGTTGGTTTGAAGCCAGGATTTAATTTCAGTCATGCACAGATCCTAATAAATTGTTTGTCGCACATGATGTGTTGAAGCACTGCCAGAAATGTCTGTTTTTACTGGTTTTTATAGTTTGTAGCTTTGATAAGTTGTGTAATTTTGTCAATTTTCTAAAAGAAAACACGTGTTTCAAACGCACTGCTGGGTTTTGAGGTTCAGAGGGTGTTTGAAATAAATAAAAATTACAGCCGTTTTAAGTTGCAAGTCTCTCCACTAACCCAAAATAAAAAAATATGAGTCTCTTCCCAGTGCTTAAAACAATACTTTATGTGCCTCAACTGTTTTGCCCGCCCCTCATGAATAATGAACAGTCCCTTAGTCTGAACTTCCTCATCAGTAGTATGTAATATGGAACTGCGACACAGCTCATTATGTTGGCTTTTTACACTTTGGCTCATCCTCTGTTAGTCGTGCTGGCCAACTGAAAGATACGATTAGTTAATGTGGTGATGCTCTGTGTGTCACAGTCAGCTGCTAATTGCATTCGTACATTAGTACATCAGGCTCGGGTGTGTTATGATATGTTAATATGTACTAAAACCTCCCATCTGTGGAAATCAGGGGTTGCGTCCAGAATTTCTGGGCCTCCTGACAATAACTCACTTTGAAAATTCGGTTATAGAGCCTAAAGGTAGAAAATGTTTTCAAATGAGACGTTAACTGTACAAATATTGGATGTTTCTGAATAAATAAACATCCAAGCGGAGATATCCTCTCCAAACACTCTGGGCTGTGTTCACACTGCCTGTTGCACGTGAGCCGGCTCTGATGTTTCCCTCACATGGCACAGATAAAGAGATGTATGTTGTGAAGCTGTAAACAGGGCGAAAACACAGAATATCAAATATCTTCTTGCCTCCTTTCGAACACATTTGCATGTGGACATAAGCCCAGCAGGCAACCTTTTACTTGGCACTGTGACTTCCATCTGACGTCCATATCTTCTCCTCGTCACGTCATCGACTCCTCAGCAGGATCAACACATGGCAGAGGAGCACGAATCGCTGCCATTCCAGCTCGAGTTAGAGTCATGACTCTTCTCTGCCGTCTTGACATTTGATTCATTTGTCACACGCCTCTAAATATGCTTCAGAAAGTAATAGGGTTAATTATTATTTCTGCCTCTTTGCGTCATTGCAGATGGTGAGTTAGCTGTGTGGGCTGCACGGGTTCAGCTCGTTGCTAGGTTACTGTACGTGGTTGTTTACCTCAACATCTGTGACTCTCACGCATGCATGCTGACTGTCGGAGACATGAACTAAACTGTTGTGGTGTAAACAAACGAATCAGATGCAGGTCACTTTTGAAAGCAGGTGTAAACAGGCAGGTTAGAAAATGTGAGACGGGAAAAAAAACAACATAAACAAGAAGGCGTTGCTTATTTAGGATAACTGCAACCAGTGTGTGTGTGTGTGTGTGTGTGTGTGTGTGGGTGTGTGTGTGTGTGTGTAACTGAAATAGGTCTTTAAAATAGAAATTAATAAAGTAACCCTGGGAAAATACAATTTAAAAAAAAGATATTTTTCATATTTAAGTCAATTAACCTGACTGAACTGAAGATAAAAAATGTCATAAACACAAGGTGAAACTTATTCGAAAATGTGACCGTAAAATAAATTAGCGTAATTAGTATAATAATAATAATAATAATAATAATAATAATAATAATAATAATTTAAAAAACAAATGAAATAATGATAATGATAATAAGGAAAAAATGAAAAAATACTAATAAAATAAATAAAAGTAATAATAATAATTTTTAAAAAATTATAATAATAAATAAGGAAAAAATACTTATAAAATAAATAAAAGTAATAATAAAAAACAAATAAAATAATGATAATAATAAATCAGAAAAAAAGATACTAATAAAATAAATAAAAGTAATAATAATAATAATAATAATAATAATAATAATAATAATAATAATAATAATAATAATAAAGAAGGAAATATATTCAAACTAATCCTACCTTTATGTTGTGACCACTAATACCAATAATTAAATAATAATTAATAATAATAAATAATAAAGTCAGGGCGAAGTGTGTCCCCCTGTCCACTGGCACCGAGGCAGTACCAGGGCATCACAGGAAAAACTCCAGAACAGGTCAGCAGGGAGAGTCCGTTAGTATCAACCAGGTTACTGTTGCATCTTGTGGTTATTGATATAAGTTTGGGCAAAAATCTTATATTGTTTTAACTGTGGTTTCGATATGTTTTGTCTACAGATTATTTATTTTGTTATACTATTATTATTGTGATTGCATGTGGATTGTGTTTCTTTATTTTGGCTGATATGTCTGACTTTGGGTCCCCCCCACACTCCGAAAGGAGGGGGCTGGCCCTATGCAGACTTGATCCTGCTCTCAGATCACAAGCAAGCAACTAGGAAGTAATGGGATTATTAAAATAAATAAAGGTTGCGTGTGGGAGGGGGAGAGGAAAATTAATTCTCCTGAGAAAAAGTTAATACTGTTAGTTATAAAAGAATATAAGTTTGATTCAGATATTGAGAACCAGTTGGGGAGATTGTACGTTTGTGTATTTCTTCATTAACAGAGCTGTTAAACTGCTTCTTACAGGATAATGTACAGCGTGTGTTTGTATCCAGACACTGAGCCTGTTTTTCTCAAAGAGAAACCTCATTATTAGGTTATTTTGCTCTGAATCCTAAATGAGTTTGGCTGCTGAGGACACATGTGAGTGTGCACTGATTGGGACAGAGACGGGGGGTAGTTTATGAGGTGCACATCACAAGCGCAGTGAGGAGTCGACTCTGGAAGCAATAATGGAAAAATAAATAAAACACAACTTTCTGCTGCTCCTAGCAGAGGCTATTATTGTCTGTGTCTGTGACAGTCACCTATCATGCATTCATATTTTTTTCCATTTTCTCACACCAGCAGCCAGATGTTTTAAGTACATTGTGTTTTTTATAACCGCTAAACATCTGTTCACAGCTCAAAGGTCCAGTGTGTAGGATTCAGGTGGACATATTGGCAGGAAAGAAATATAATAAGTGTGGTTTCTCTGCTGTATTATCACCTGAGAATAGAAACCATCATGTTTCTGGCCGCGATCACACAGAAAGCATCTTGGAGGTTGCAAAACGCGAGGTGCACCGCACTGCCTTTTTTTTAAAAAAAAAAAATGAAATTCACGAGTAAAAAATGCTTGCTGCACCTTTTCGTTGTTGCCAGGCAACCACCCCATCACGTCCTTACTCTTACCTCAGGGAAACAGAGATCTGTGTGGGTATCATGAGACCCTAAAAACGAGGGTGGATCACTGGGAGTACCACCAGTTGGTCCAGGAGCTTCACCTCGATGATGGCCATTACCAGGCATATGTTAGGATGACTCAGGGGCAGTTTGACAACCTGCTGTCCATCGTTGGGCTGTATAGCTCCAAGCTACGACCGGTTTTTCCTCCATTGTTTACCAACTGTAAACTTGTTGTCGTGACCACCACAGAAGGCCCGCCTCTCAAATCATTCCATTGGACAATGGGAAAAAAGATGATGAAAAAAGAGATGTTGCGGGGCGTTTTTCCGCTTTGTGTTGAAGTTTTTTCAACTCAAGTTCAGAGCACTCTGGCAAAAACACCAAGCACCTAGACCGCAAAAACACGAGGCATGTCGCAACGCAAAAAACACAAGCAAAAAGCTTCACTCTCATTAAAAACTATTACAAAAAGCCGCCTCCAGCTGCTAAAATGCTTTCTGTGTGATCAGGGGCCTCATTTATAAAACAATGCGTAGAATTTATACTAAAAATGTACATATGGACAAAACTCATGTGTTGAACAGTTTCTACAATCAGGCTTCCACCATCTACATCGCCAATTTCTCATCTCCAACATTTTTTCAATTAAGTCTGCTTTTATAGATCACAACTTTTGTGTGGGAAGTGGCATACGCTTCTTTCAGGCCTTGTTTTGTGCGTATGCAGTGTTTGTAAATGAGAGCCCAGGGCCTTAGAATGAGCTGTTTATACCTACATAGGGAACAGGTCCTGATCCACGGAGATCACCATGTTGCACTGCAGTATTTCTACAGCAACCCAGAACAGACAAACCAAACCCCAGGTCCAGATAGGGACATTCCTGTTGTCATGATGGCTACTGTAGTAAGCAGCCCCTCCACAACGAGGTGAACAGCATCAAAAAAACACTGATTTGTAAAGTGAAACTATTTTATTCAGTGTTTTTACCAGTTTTAATCACCAGGTCCATTTGTTTCTGAGAGGAGGAGCCCTCTGTGAAATATTCGGCTCCCTGTAAAAACCTCCTAAACGTCCTGATCTTAAGTTATCAGAGAAAAAAGGTGAGCACAGATTAGGAGGTGCTTGACCGTGACCTGTCTCTGACATGCCAAACAGCATAGGAAAAACACTGACTAGTAATGTGAAACTGTGTTATTCAGCATTTTTACCAGTTTAAATCACCTTGTCTGTTTGTTTTGGAGAAGAAGAGACCTCTGTGGATAATTCAGCTCCCCGTAAAAACTCTCTGAATGTCTGGATCTTAAGTTATCAGAGAAAAAAGGTGAGCACAGATTAAGAGGTCCTTGGCCAGTGACCCGTCTCTAATGAACCAAACAGCATAGGAGAAACACTGATTTGTAACTGTTTTGAGGAAGAGACCTCTGTGGATAATTTGGCTCCCCGTTAAAACCTCCCAAACACTGAAGGAATCCTAACTGGAATTTCACACTTGGCACATGGGTGAAGTTTCAAATGGTCGCAATCTGCAATCCTCACAGTTAGATGCCACTAAATTCTCTACACTGTTTCTTTAAGCGAGTGCTACTGAAACGGACAGCAGGTTAAACATTCTGTAAAATCATTTGCCCTGTTTGCTGAATGTGAGAACAGCAGCACAGTGTGCACACAGCCTCATGACCCTCTGTCCTGTTTCTGTAACCCTGCGATTCCCCTGCCATTAATTGTTTTAATTGCCACCATCCCCAAATGACTTAAATCATTTACACGTGTTATTTTGCTGATGAAAACATTTAGCTGGTAAATTGGAAAAAATTAGAGCTTTATAAAATGCAAATGAGATGAATGATTTTTAAATGTACCCTGACATTTCCCCTCAGGAGATCATCATACAGTCAGACTGAAGTGTGGCGACTTAACTCTCTCCGTCTCTCTCTCTCTCTCTGCTATGTGTGTTTCCTTAGCTTCCTGGTGGATTATGACTAACAACAACTAGCAACCGAATCCAGAATGTCACATCGGCTGCCTACACTGTCACACGGACAAAGACACACTGGCGCGTCAACCCACCCACCCACACACATGCACACATACAAACGCACACATACACAGAAGCATTCAAAAGGAATCCATGCGTTTGAAAGCAACAGGAGACGGAGACAATGGCGTCATCCAGCAGCATCTTTTAATGTTCCTCCGTCTTCGACTGCTCATTATTGTGCCGCTTATATCAAACGGGATAGTTGCACCCTATAGCCAATCTATTGACTTGAAAGTGACTGACTCTCCGCGATGCAAAAGTCGTTTCTTTCTCATAACCCTGTCTTTTACTTGGCCTCCTCTCTCCTGCAGCATTTGTATGATAACATGCCGGTGAAAGACGACCAAGACGACACTAGTATAGGCGACTATAGAGCAAATCCAACTGAAATGAAGATTCCCATGCCAGTAGTGTTATTGTGCTTTTGATGAGTTGTTTATCGTTGAATACAAATAAGAAAAAAACAGAGAAGATGAGGAGATGGAGGGTTGCTGCAGCCTAAACATGCATGCTGACGACTGTGGCCAAGAGCTTTCAGTAATAGTTCCTTTAAACCCTGGCTGTATATGCTGTATGATACTGTAGCACCGTTTTTCTTTCATCAAGCTATCCTACTGTCATGTGCACAGAATACCAAAAAAAGCTATTATAAAAAAAAGAAACCCTTCCCCTGACATCTATCTATTGCTAGATATACTAGTGGTTATTTATATTAGTTACATCTCCTATTAGAGTATCTCAAAAAGTGTGAGTATCTAAGGGAAGTAACACTTTGTGAGGATATTTCATTGTATCACTAAGTTACGGAGAGAAAACATATTTAATGTAACATGTATTTCTTTTGCTCCTGGTAGAGTTTACTCCATCTGTACATATGTAACTGGAGATATATTCATATTTCTGTTGTGTTTTGGTTCTGTAATGTACACCACCGGCTGTAAACAAACTGAGGAGCAACTTTAATAAAAATCATTAAAGCTACTAATTGTTTTGACAAGTGGAAATGAGTCTGTATCTTCAGTTCTTGACAGGTGCATTATATATTTCCCTTCCATAATGCTCTTTGAAACGTTTGATTCATTTTCATTCCAGTCTCATTTGTTTTCCTTTCCACTGGCTCCAAGATCCCCCTCTCACAGAGCAAATTAAAGCTGCTTCAATCAAGTTTTGTGCCACTGAGGAGAAGAGGATCCCGAACAAACAAACAGCACTCATTGACTGATTATCAGTTCTTATGACCAGCATGTTGACAAATGTAGGCAAATGTCCAGCAAACACAAAGAAACATTCCTGGCCGACTGACAAATGTAGATAGATAGATAGATAGATAGATAGATAGGTAGATAGGTAGATAGATAGATCCTCGTTTGCTGTTATACTCCGTGGGAAAGGTAAGCTACATTGCTCTTGTAGGTAGGTAGATAGGTAGGTAGAATCAGAATCAGAAATACTGGCAGACTCTAGTGATGTCTGCATTGTGTTGATATGAGAAAGCCCAGACCGAGGCGATCTCTGTTTATTCCTGACAACTCTGACAGCAAGAGGTAAAAACAAAATCCTCCGGCAGTTCCGAACATATAAACTTGAGGCCCTCTCCCACAGAGTACAACAGCAAAAAGGGCGGCCATGTTACATTCAATTCAGTACAATAAAACATAGAAAACATACCTGACAGCAAGAGGTACAAACAAAATCCTCTGTCAGTAACAACTATACAAACTTGAGCCCCGACACAAATGAAGTGACACAGGATTATGTTAGCATGAAATGAACTTATTAACAGCTTAACAGAGCTAAAACTTGGAAATTGCTCTGAGAGCATTGTAGTTTACCTTTCTCACGGAGTATAACAGCATCTATCTATCTATCTATCTATCTATCTATCTATCTATCTATCTTTCACCTGAGAAATATGTCTGGACCCATAGGTTGTTTGACTTTGCTAACTTGTCTCTACCTTTTGGAGTGTACTCTTTTGTTCTCAGACTCAACCATGAAATAAACAACAAAAATAAACAATCTGAGGAGGATACAACTCCCAGTAAAGTATCTGAGTTGGGTTATAGTAATCTATGGGTTTATTGCAAGCAACTGCTTCTTCATGTCTTCATTTTCATTTCATTCAATGTGAATCCAAAAACTATTAATCAGTGCCACTTTAAAGGGATAGTGCACCCAAAAATGAAAATTTAGCCATTATCTACTCACCCATATGACGAGGGAGGCTCAGGTGAAGTTTTAGAGTGAGATCCAAGGGGAGAGGTTGTAGCAACAAAACTCCACCTAATGGAGGCTGACGGCGCCCCAGATTTAAACGTCCAAAAACACATAATTGAAATCACAAAATATCTCCATACTGCTCGTCCGTAGTGATCCAAGTGTCCTGAAGCCCTGAAATAAAAAGTTGTTTGGAAAAACGTCATTTGAACTCTGTTTTTAGCCTCATTGTAGCCTGTAGCTCTAACTGCCTCTGTGTACACTGCGCTCACGTGTGTGTGCTTGTGCGAGACCGTGAGACATCGGCACTGTGTTCATGTGTGTTCACGTGCTTTTGAGCAAATATGGAGATATTTTGTGGTTTCAATTATGTGTTTTTGGACGTTTCAATCTGGGGCGCTATCAGCCTCCATTAGGTGGAGTTGTGTTGCTCCTCTCCCCTGGGATCTCCGGAAGTGTTGTGAGGACTCTAAAACTTCACCTGAGCCTCCCTCGGCATATGGGTGAGTAGATAATGGCTGACTTTTTTTAGAGTCACAAGTCAGTCTTTAGACGCTTTGCTTAACTAAAGACTGATGACTTTCTCCCTGATTTTGTGTTTAGATGGGCGGATACAATTTCAGAGTTTAAAAAAACTCCCTACGTTGCAGAACCAATAGTAAATCCGTAGGGTGGTCCTTCGGTGGCTCGCTGAACTCTTGTGCTCGTAAATATAGTCCGACCAAAAACACGGGTAGCGGTACAAAATGGCTCAAGTCGCTGTAAGTCCTTCATTTCCACAATCTTGTGGACTGAGCACACGCTTGATAAAACGGAGTTAAATCTCTCGGCATCCATTTTCAAGCTCTCTGTGTGTTTGTTTTCTTGCGGACGAGAAAAGGGGGAGCGCACATTTCTGGGAGGGCGTGTCTTTTTCAAAAATGCAAGAGCCGTTGCTTTGTTGCCGGCCGTTTTCTCCGGTGTGTTAAACACACTTTAGAAAGGAGTGTCCACAGACTATCAGAAGCCAGTGATCTCTGATTGTCTGGTGGCGAGACTAGAATATACCCGATAAGTCTGAACTCAATTGTAAAATGTATACATCCAAAAAAATCCAATAAAGAATCTGCAAAAAAAATAGCCTGATGGCTTAGATCACAATGAAGGATCGTAGAAACTCCATTCCTGTCAATAACTCAGCGTTTCCTCATACAATGGTTCATATGCTATCCTACGCATAAGCGCCCCATCAATGAGGTTACATACCTGACAGAGGTTCATTTTAAGCAAGTAAAGTTACTATGAGGTTTAGGAAAAGAAACATGGTGACGACATACCTTAAAATGGCTCAAAGTTCACTCAAAGTTGACACAGTTCTTAACACCAGTCTCCTGGGGAAAGTCCTGTGTATTGTGACTCATTCACCACCCCTACATGCCGATTGGTCATGTCATGTGATCTCAACCTTCCCAAATTTGTGAGTTATACACATATTACTGGCTCATGCTTACATAGGATATGAATGAGTTTTGGTGCACCTATTTTCATAGAAAAAAAAAACAATTCATGCACGACAACAGCCTGAATAATTGTATTCATCAATACTCTGTGAGCTATGAATCCCACAGTGCCTTAAAGAAACGACAGCACTTGAACTGTGAGGTTTCTGTGACTCACAGCAGACACCTCCGTGACCGTGACCGGGACTGCTCAACTGTGTGAATAAAATGCAGGACAATGATTGAGTGCTGCAGGCTTCATTGCACCAGCAGTTCCCAACCATGGCACTTGTGGCTTTGCATCAGGTTGCATATCTGAGTTGTGAGCAGTTCAATCAGCATATTTAGAGGCTTGAAAATAAATATTTGTGTTGCAGAATTTCATATTTTGTCATTCCATGTATGAATAATCACCTGAGTTTCATACCCCGGGCTGCAGTACACCATCATACAAATTCAGTCCATACTCTCCTGCAACAGAAGCAGTGCAACACAAATGTAGTATCAGTGTCTTCAGTGTACGATTTGGGACTCAGAATGCAGCATACATCTAATGTACTGTGAACTAAAGCTACCGGAGAGCTCAGCAGAAGTCCTTGTGTGTGTCTCCATTTTCCTTTTACATTCAGAATAGTTTGAAGCAAATGTTTTACAAGCTCTGAATAGCAATGGAAAGTCCAGATCCCTGCCTGCAGCCAGGATCTTGTTATGACAGAAACATCTAATTGCTGAGATTGCTGAAATTGTTTGTGCCAAATTTGCAAATGCACACACAAATGCGTGCACAGCCACAGAGGCTGGCACATCATTGCACTGATTGCCGGGGCTGTAATATTTCATTGCATGATTACTGGCCCTCTCATCTTCAGCCTCCTGTTAGCCAGGCTGTCTGCTGGTTACACAGAATGAATATATGGTGTAGAGTATGTGATGTAGATGAGCCTGGGAGGATGTGTACCCACACCTCCTGTTCCTCATCTGTTCCTCTAAACGCTGAGGGGCAAGTGTAACCACTATTACTAACACTGAGAGGACTGTCTAGGTTAGAGCAAATTTAAGGAAGCAAAAAAAAAGCCTGTCGCTGTTTCAAGAGGAATATTTCCAGCAGATGTCACAGACAGATGAAGGATGAAAATAAAGAACATTTTTTAGAACATAGTGATTTTTTATTTACTTTTTTTAAACTGTTCTCACAAAAGCAACTGTAGCCCATGTGCCCTCAACATTAATGCAGCTACTAGAAAGCGTATTAAAATACCATTGTTGAAAGTCAGCTTATTCAAACGTGTCAATCTCATGTTAAAGGAATAGTTTGACAAAACTCTGAGTCTTGCTGTGAATCAGTCATACACAGAAAGGTAATTAGAACCAAGCATGGGAAGGGCGGACCCTGCCACTAACAATGAAAAACACCATTGAAAAATTGGGTTTGAGTTCATGAAAATCTTAAAGTAGCTGTGTATGACATTCACAGCATATCACTAGCTATGTTTCCATCCAAAAGTGATTTGAATCATTGGGAAATGCGCATTAAAAGAAATACGAATCCTGTGTTTTTCCATTAAACGTACGGACTTTGGTGAAAACTACGAACTCGCGCGAGTTTTCCGCAGAACCAGAAACAAATTCTTTTTCATTGCATTCTTTTTCTTCTACGTTTTGTGGTGGTTGGCCGCCAGCTTGTAAATGCATTACCGCCTTCCCGACCCGGAGTGTGGATATCACCATGGAGAGAGGTGCGCTACGTCAGACTTAATTCGAACATAACTGTTTCCATCCCCCGTTTTGCGAATCAACATTTTGTCGAATCAACCAAAACCCGGCTAAAGCAAGCGTATTTTAGTTTGTGCGAATCAGGGGATCTTAATTCGAATTTTGCCATTTCCATCATAATCTTCCGTTGTGATACTTCTAGATGCGCATCTAAACAGGCTGATGGAAACATGGCTTATCATTCAGAGTCTGACACCTCATTTCCACTTACGCATGTGTACGGAGACGAGGCAACCAGAAGTCCATTCATTCCTATGGGAATCTCTGTGATTTCTGATGTGCCTGCGAAACTTCTCCCCTTTGTAATATTTCCGTCCGGAATTTGCGAGTACATTAAAAAAAATGGAACTTTTGCAGTGGATTTCTGAGAGACTGTATGACAGTGTGCTAACTAGCTAACAGCTTGCTAACTGGCTAACAGGCTAGTTTCTTCAATTCAGTTGCCAGTGTTGATTGTCAAGTGAGTTTGTATGATTAAAAATGACTTCTTTATTTATTTTTAACACACTGTGAATCTGAGTAATGATATTCTGCTA